GAGTTTTTTGCATTTTGCATTTTCTTTGACAACTGTGTCAATATTTTTGGTGTTCTTTACACTCTGTTTTTCTGGCTTTTTCTGTTACCACTCCAGTAGAACAAAGGGCCCTGACATTAGTGATAATGAGGTGGACTTGGGTTTCTTAGCACCTGAGGGGAGAGGGGCTCTTGCTGTATCTGGGAGAAGCTGGGAGTCCCAGCTTGCTGTTTGCACACAAATAACTTTCTTTTTTTTTAATTTATTTTTACTTTTTAAAAATAATCGTAATTTTTACTTATTCACAGAGGGGTTATAAATGCAAAAAGGCAGGATGTGGGGAAGGGGATGACACCGGAGCGTGGATGTTCAGCGGGAGTACAGATATCTTTCATAACAGGGTATTGGCTAGGTGAAGGTTCAGGGGACAGGTCACTGTGACTCTGCCTATGATTCACTTGTCCTTATCTAAGTTGGTATTATCCGCCACGACTACCTATTTACAAGGTCTATGACTACTCAGGCTAGTAAATTTCTACAATAGCTGTCTGTTTACAATAGCTTATAGCCACCTGTTTCAATGTTTTTCCACAGAGACCCAAGACTTGGTGTTATTATATATGTATGACAGGTCTATTGCTGCTTTTAGGCCTATGGCTGATTTTAGGCCTTCAGTGTATAAGCAGGGCTGCCCCTGACATCTCCTCCCTTCTCTAAGTATAGAAGGGCTGTGGCAATTCTAAACTTGCGAAGGCGGGGATAGAGGCCTGACCTCCAGCAATTGAAGGGGACTTTGTAATGGCTCCAGTCCCCCTGTCGTTGTCCAGTGAGGCATGAGGGCCATACCCATCCCAATGTCTTTTTCCTGGAGAGGGGTTACTTTTGACATCAACCTCTATGCAGTCAGCTTGTCCCTCAGGGAACCCACAGAGATATTTTTAACTTTTATTTATATTCCCTTGCAGTGCTCAGCCTTGCAGCCTAAGCAAGAATTCAGATAGCCAGTCAGAGGGGATTCTGGGTCTCTGCTTGGTCTAGGGGTGGAAGTCCCCTCTTTTAGGTTGTGTGGAGATGGGTTTTGGGAACACCCTGGATAGAGTAACAACCTCATCTTGAGTCTTGTGGTCCCCCATAGCTAACTTATGATAATGTATCTGAATAGGTTTCACTACCAAATTATTTATCTGTTGTTTCACAAAGTTATTCAGCCTATTTATGGCCCAGGGACCAAAATAAATAAGGAAAAATAACCCAGTTAATGGTCCCAAGATGAGAGGAGGTAGGGTTGACAACCCTGGAGAGGCTGAAAACCAATTCTTGTACCAGCACTCATCTTTCTTTTTCTCTTTCTGACTTTTCTCAGGGCCTTCTCTGACCTTTTTCATGCTCTCTTTAATCATCCCTGTCTTGTCTATGTAAAGGCAACATTCTTCTTTAAGGGCTGTACACAGTCAAGAGCTGTACACAGTCTCTTCTATTGTAAAAGAATAAATCAAGTCCAATACAGTCCTTTGAAATTTTTGGAGGTCTCTTCAGACAGTGAAATGAGGAATTTCTTCAGATTAGTGATGTCACTCTCTAGTTGTTTGATGTTATTGTCAATGGCCTGTTGAAGGTCTGAGTAGTATAAGTTCGGAGGCCAGCATCTGGATTAGACCTTCTAACAGCAGACATCACGGGTGATTCGTTTTTACCTGGAAAGGAAAAAGAAGGGAATTCTTAGGGAGATTTCTCTTCCCTGGAGGTCAATTGTTATTCATCTTATTTATGGTTGGCCCTGGCTTTGTGGGGGTATCTATTTATTTCATTAATCTTTTTGGTAGCCATTTAGCTGTGTGTTCTGTGGTATCAAACAGGCATATCAATCCTCGGCCCCATAAGAGAACTGGGTCTGGGCCATTACCTTTAAGGGAAGAGGGTCCTTCCACATAGCTGTGGCACCATTTTTATCGGTCTCAGTGATGCCAGAGGCAGTCAGCAGCAGATTTGCCATGAGCTTTCAGTTTTAGAGAGTTAAAAGTGAATAAGGCATGATGGAGAGTATTTCGGGGGATTCCTTCTGGGGGGTACCAGTCCCACTCTTTTGTTTTTAAAGCCAATTTTTCAGAGTTCTTGTAAAATCAGGGTCGAAGAACCAGCAGCTGCTCCTTCCACACTCAGAGAGTCATGAAGACACTATTTAAAGAAATATAAATCTATATTAATAATCTCTTTTATCAAAGGACTGTTATAGAACAGCCAACAACTAATCAGACTATATATCAATTAATAATAGCTTCTTCTATCTTTTGTGAGATTACTCCTCTTTTGTCAATTAAGTGTTGAGGGAAATTAGTACTTACATCTTTCTTGAGAATATTAAACAGACTTAAATTCTTTTGTGGAGAACTTAAAATGTGATCTTAGCCAATTAGCATCTCCTAGAAACTTTTGCAAATAATTTGAAATAAATAAACTACCTGTTTTTGTTTTTTTCAGACCCATTATCTGTTTTTTTTAAATTGGATATTTTATGTATTTACCTTTCAATGTTATCTCCTCTCCCATTCTCCCCCAGAACCCCTCATCCCATACCCCGTCCTATTTTTATGAGGTTGTGCTCCAAACATACTCCCAGTCCCATCTCCCTGCTCACAAATTCCCCAACACTAGGGAATCCAAACTCTCGGGGACCATGGCCCTCTACTTCCACTGGTGTCTGACAATGCCACCCTCAATTACCTATACAGGTGAAGACGTGAGTCCCTCCCTTTGTCCTCTCAGGCTGGAGGTTTAGACCTTGGAAGCTCTAGTTGAATCTTTTGATGATCCTTCTAAAAAGGACCAAAGCACCCACACTTTGGTCTTCCTTCTTCTTCTTGAGTTTCATGTGGTACATGCATTGTGTCTTAGGTATTGTGAACTTTTGGGCTAATATTCACTTATCAGTGAGTGCATACCATATTCTTTTGAGATTGGGTCATCTCACTCAGGGTGGTATTTTCTAGCTCCATCCATTTGCCTAAGAATTTATGACCTCATTGTTTTTAATAGCTGAGTAGTACTCCACTGTGTAAATATACCATACACAAATAACTTTAAAATGACTTTATTACAGTGCACTTACATTTCCTTTTTCCCCCAAAGACAAAGTCTGGAGCTGTTGCCCAAAGGATTGGAAGCCGTTTGGTTCCCACTGCTACTTTACTTCAACTGACTTGGTGGCATCTTGGAATGAGAGTGAGGAGAACTGCTCCCACATGGGTGCTCATCTGGTGGTGATCCACAGTCAGAAAGAGCAGGTACATCCTGGGAGAGAGCAGGATCTGGGTCCAGCAGGTTGTCTGCCAGTTTCTACTAAAAGGGTGTTTTTGTTGACATGGGTGTTGGTGTTGTGGCAGAAGGCTTTCCAGTAGATAGGCAGGAATGGTTGCTTCAACCTTTGCCTTCTACACCTTGGTCCTGCTTAACTGGAACTAAACAACTTCCAAACAGCCATGGCATCAGACATGCAACGCAGGAGGCTGGAGAGAAGGACAAAATGCTTCTGCATGAAGGACCAGTTTGTGGTTTCAGCACTCTAATGTTTCCTGTAAAATCAACTGCCTAACTAAGAAGGGTGAAAGGAAACAGGACCCAGTCTGGAGGATCAGAATCTGCCATGAGAAATGAAATAGCTGAGGTTTGAATGGAGCATGATTAGATGTGCAAAATTCTCTCACATACAACTGTCAAAAATGATGTTGGTGAAGAAAAGAGTGGCGTAAGTCTGAGATGAGGACTCATTATGATCATGGTCAGAGACTGTTTCCAGTGTCATTAAACATGAGTGATGACTTCAACAGTGTCCTGATCATCCAGAGAAGATGTGCAGTCCTGAGGTGTGGGGCGAGAAAATGTGCACTCCTGTGGGGAGTCTCCTAATCCTCAATCCTTTGTTTTTCCATCTCTGTGTGACCAGAAAAAAAATAGTCAAAATATCACAATATGCCTTTAAAATATAAAATTATTATATATTGAAAATATTTAAGGGCCAATAGAGATGAAGTATGATTTGATTATTGTGTATTTGCATATGTGCATCATGCTGAACCCTATAATTTTGTATCATTAAAGTAATTTTTAAACGATCTTGGAAAAAATTCTATAACAGAAAAAGTAGTGCTCAGTCCAGCTATATCTTTCTTTCCTCTTAGAATTTCATCACTGGGATCCTGAGCACTGCTTCTGGCTATTTTATAGGACTTTTGGATGCTGGTAATAGACAATGGCGATGGATTGATCAGACACCATACAATGAGAGTGCCACGTGAGTCTAGAGTTACACAGAGGAGTCCTGGGTCCTGTAGCATGAGGAGAATTTATGGTGTTCCAGCTGTTGGTTATGAAGCTAAAATAGCTCCATTCTGATGTAACTGCTGGGATGGAGTAACTTTTACTTTCCCATGAGCTCATCACAGGAGTCCTATGAGATATTCCAGGTAGAGATGATGGAATTAAGTTTGAAGAATGTAGAATGTTAAGTACCCAACCAAGGTCTTTATATATAGATGCATTTTATTATGGTTTCAGTCTCTCATCTACATTTTTAAAAATAGGACTTAATTTGTTTTTATTCATGTGTATATATGTGTCTTTTTTGAGTGTCTGTCCTGTGTATTTGGATGTCCTTGGAGGTCATAATAGGGTATTGGATCCTCTGAAGCTGAGATTACAGGTTGTACAAAAAATGATAGGTGAGTGCTTGCAAGAGAACCTCACATTTTATGGAAAAGCAGCAAGCACTTTTAATATCTGAGCTATATCTCCAGCTGTCATTTATATCTTTGTAAGAAAAATTGATGTCACGGTCATAATTGATTATTTCTTATATATAATAGGTCCTCAATTTGATGTTGTAGTATTTCATATTTATGTAATGATTTTAAAACTCTTAATATCTTAGTATGTAGCCATATTCTCTTTTGATATCTGATGTGACAAATATGTAGTGTGTTGTGTTTTAAAACAAAATTTCAAATGTTTGATTTTTACCAATGAAAAATTCAGGAGCCAGATGCTAGGGTGAAAGCCTGCTAGCTCACAGAGGTAGAGGAAGCAACCAGCTTACCTTTCTGCTCAGCTGATGTCTCACAAGTAAAAAAGTTTCTTCTCCTCCACTCTGTCTTAAATACCCTACAAACTCAACATCCCTCCTTTCTACTTTCTGTACATCTCCCTATCCATCCTCCAGTCTTCTTCTCATCTATGGTATTTTCTTATGTTCTCTTCCTATCAGTTGGTTGCTTCCTCTACCTCTCTATGGTTGACTTTAATCCTGGTTACAGAAAGCTCTTGGATTAAAGGTGTGTGCTAGGACTGAGCCACACCACAACAACCTGTTTACAATAAACAGAAAGCTCTTGGATTAAAGACTGAGCCTCATCACTGATAGAAAAAGGTTTTTTTCTAGTTCACAAAATTGGGCTTCACAATGTGATCAAACAACTTGCAACAATAGTGAGGTTTTTGTTCTCAATTTTCAGAGAAGACAGCTAGGACCTGAGAATTTTAAATTATTTTTTTCTTGAAGATAGAAATAAGTAGATTGCCTAGAGGTTTGAACTAGTTCTCCAGTCTTCAAAATAGTTCCATAGGGAAAACTATTAAAACATGAGAGTAAGGAGAGTCCTTTTTAAGATCTAAAGCACAATGGGTTGACTGTCCCCTGGCACCAAACATAAGAATGAAGAAATAGCCTCTGAGATGTGTGTTCTGAGAGAAGGGTTAAGTAACAAGCTAAGAGAACATTGAGTGCTATGGGCCCTGTTATCCAGGGAAATGTGAGATATGAGTGATGGAGAACACTTGATTTGTACATACTTGAATCTCATCTCTACAAATTCCAATCTCATCCTCAGACTTCCTTCCTCTTGTTTCCTGTTTTCAAGCATGACTGTAGGAAACACCCTGATGCTCTTTCCTCCTTTTCAGATTCTGGCACAGAGGTGAGCCCAACAATGACTTCGAAAAATGTGTTATAATAAATCATCGTCTGAATGCTGGATGGGGCTGGAATGATATCCCTTGCAGTGATAAACATAAGTCAGTTTGTCAGATGAAGAAAATATACTTATGAATCACACATTCGCCATGGGCATGAAATTTCATTGTTATCCACCATTACATGAGCATCTGGAAAGTTCTACAAGTGGAAGAGATGTCCATAGAATTTAAGTAGGAATCAAATGGTTATGCATAAAAAATGACCCACATATATCCTTGTATATTTATCCATGTACTCAGTCATAAAATGAACTTTCGTTGAGAATTTTCTACATACCATCGACTCTACAGGGACCCATTTGGGCACACATGATGCTTTGCTGCCAACTTCCCAAGCTTTCATTTACTCATGCCATTGTATGTTATGTTCCTTTGATCTGTTTTCTGTCTTTTAATATATCTTTGGTCTTAATGACATTAAATTGAGAAGTAAAATGATATATTATCTGTATATATATTATCCAAAAGCAGGTTAAATATACCTTCCAGTACTTACCATAATTGCCATTGTGTGTGTGTGTGTGTATGTGTGTGTGTGCATGTGTCACACTTACAGTCTTTAAAACAAATTCAGATATACAGGATGGTGCTAGCTATTGTCATTCTATTGTACCATGGATCTCAGTATTCACTTCTATTTTATCTGGCAGTATGTGCCCTTCATCAACATGTCAGAGATCCCAGCACCCAACCCTTTACAACCATGTATTCTTAGCTCTAATTCCTGAAATTATTTGATAAGTTATTAGTCAGTAATTATTGTAATATCTTACAGATTATCTCCCCCACTTAATTTCTTTAATGAATCATGAAAAGCGGCAGGCCTACCCACCATCATGCAGTGATTCCTGTTTTGTGTGTTGTTTAAATGATGTTTAAACCCAATTCTGTATTACAATTTAGATTAAGATAAATAAAGAATGAAAAAATAAGGCCTAACTTGCTGATGTAGCTACAGTGCGAACTTAAAAAAAATGTAAACTCACATACCTAGTATAAAATATGAGAAATATAAAATAGTCCTTATTAGATATATGAGAACCACACTAAAATGCCTTTCAGTAAGTAAAATTTAGCATGTTTTGAAAGAAATTCTGACTAAATTGTCATAAAAAAGAATATAGACAATTGCCTCCTTCTTTTCAAACACTTCCTGTAGCAAGCTAATGGTGACAAATGGAAACAGCCAAATCTTGCTCAGCCCTGAGCTAGTTCAGACATGTTCATGTAACCAGTTTCATAAGTCATTTTGTGAAATAAAACTGTGGCAGCCTCTGAGGCAGCATTTTCATCTGAAAATGAACATTACTAAGTCAAATCTTCTCTTTAGAAAAGGAATGCAGGAATAATATTCTCTAAGCTGGACTTGCTATTTTTTTAAAAAAGGATCATATTCACTTAACCATGAGTCAATTTTACTCAAACTCAACAAAATATTCTGCTAGCCCTTCACGATCTGAGTTCTGATGTACAAATGAAATCATGGCACAGGTTAAAATCATGGGAAAATTGGTTTGTAGTAAGTAGGCAGTGGATACTAGTCATAAACAGTCTCTCTAAGGCAAGGCACTAAGTCCACCTCTTCTCTTGTCTTATTAATCCCAGTAAAGACCATTTCTGTTTTAGGGATGCTCAGACACTCCATTAGCATACCTTTCCCCAGAAGATATCTTTGTGCTTGGTGACATTTGTGTGAATTGATTCAGTCTATAATTGTACTGCCTCTCCTTCCCATAGGGTGTCCCTAGGCATACTTCTAAACAAAAATCTTGTCTTCCTTAATAATAAATTTATTGTCATCATCATCATCATCATCATCATCAATTATCATTGTTAATTTATTCACTTCACATTCAGTTCACTCTCTCCCTCCTGGTCACACCCTCCCACAATCCTTTCCCCATCCCTCCCCCTTCTCCTCTGAGTGGGTGGGGACACCCTAGGTATCTCCAACCCTGGCATACCATGTCTCTGTGGGGCTAGACACATCTTTGCCAACTGAGGCTAGAAAAGGCAGTCCAGCTAGAAGGACATACCCCATGGATAGACAATAGCTTTTGGGACTGTCCCCTCTCCAGTTGTTTGGGACCCACATGAAGAACAAGCTGCAGATCTGTTATGCATGTGAGGGGAGGACTAGATATAGCTCATGTATGTTCTTTGGTTGGTGGTTCAGACTCTGATTGCCCCAAAATTTTCCTCATAGCACTGCTTTCATTGTGTCCCATACATTTGGATATGTTGTGCCTTAATTTTCATTAAATTCTAAAAAGTCTTTAATTTCTTTCTTTATTTTTTTCCTTGACCAAGTTATCAGATAGTTGTTCAGCTTCCATGTATATGTGGGCTTTCTATTGTTTTTGGTGCTATTGAAGATAGCCTTACTCTGTGGTGGTCTGACAGAATACAGGGGATGAATTTAATGTTCTTATATCTGTTGAGGTTTGTTTTATGTCTGAGTATACGGTTGATTTTTGAAAACCTACCATGAGGTACTGAGAAGAAGGTATATTCTTTTGTTCTAGGGTGAAATATTCTGTAGATATCTCTTAAACACATTTGGTTCGTAAGTTCTTTTAGTTTCACTGTATCTCTGTTTAGTTTCTCATCCTATGATCTGTCCATTGGTGAGAGTGGGATGTTGAAATTCCTACTATTATTATATGAGGATAAATGTGTTTTTTGAGCTTTAGTAGCATTTCTTTTACAAATGTGGGTGCCCTTGCATTTGGGGCACAGATATTCAGAACTGACAGTTCATCCTGGTGAATTTTTTCTTTGATAAGTACATAGTGACCTTCCCCACCTTTTTTGATAACTTTTGGTTGAAAGTCTATTTTGTTGGATGTTAGGATGGCTGCTCCAGCTTGTTTCTTGGGACCATTTGCTTGGAAAATTTTTCCCCATACTTATACTTTTAGGGAATATCTGTCTTTGGCTCTGAGATGTGTTTCCTGTATGCAGCAAAATGCTGGATCCTGTTTAAGTATCCAGTCTGTTAGCCTATGTTATTTTATTGGGGAATTGAGTCCATTGATTTTAAGAGCTATTGGGAACCAGTGATCATTGCTTCCTGTTATTTTTGTTGGTAGAGTTAAAATTACTATTGTGTGTTTTTCCTCTTTTGGGTTTGTTGTGAAAAGATTAATTTCTTGAATTGAAGAAGATCTCAGAAGATGGAAAGATCTCCCATGCTCATGGATTGGCAGGATTAATATAATAAAAATGGCCATCTTGCCAAAAGCAATCTACAGATTCAATGCAATCCCCATTAAAATCCCAACTCAATTCTTCACAGAGTTAGAAAAGGAAATTCTCAAATTCATATGGAATAACAAAAAACCTAGGATAGCGAAAACTATTCTCAACAATAAAAGAACTTCGGGAGGAATCACCATCCCTGACCTCAAGCTGTACTACAGAGCAATAGTGATAAAAACTACCTGGTATTGGTACAGAGACAGGCAGGAAGATCAATGGAATAGAATTGAAGACCCAGAAATGAACCCACAGACCTATGGTCACTTGATCTTTGACAAAGGAGCTAAAACTGTCCAGTGGAAAAAGGACAGCATTTTCAACAAATGGTGCTGGTTCAACTGGAGGAAAACATGTAGAAGATTGAAAATTGATCCATTCTTATCTCCTTGTACAAAGCTCAAGTCTAAGTGGATAAAGGACCTTCTCATAAAACCAGATACACTGAAACTAATAGAAGAGAAGTTGGGGAAGAGCCTCGAATACTTGGGCACAGGGGAAAAGTTCCTGAACAGAACTCCAATGGCATATGCTCTAAGATCGAGAATTGACAAATGGGACTTCATAAAATTGCAAAGTTTCTGTAAGGCAAAGGACACTGTCAATAGGACAAAACGACAACTAACAAATTGGGAAAAGATCTTTACCAATCCTTCATCTGATAGAGGGCTAATATCCAATATATACAAAGAACTCAAGAAATTAGACTCCAGGCAACCAAATTACCCTATTAAAAAATGGGGTATAGAGCTTAACAAAGAATTTTCAACAGAAGAAACTCGAATGGCCGAGAAGCACCTAAAGAAATGCTCGGCATCCTTAGTCGTCAGGGAAATGCAAATCAAAACAACCCTGAGATTCCATCTCACACCAGTCAGAATGGCTAAGATTAAAAACTCAGGTGATAGTAGATGCTGGCGAGGGTGTGGAGAAAGAGGAACACTCCTCCATTGTTG